AGTAATATATATCTTAACTTCAACATAATATATTATTTCCACTGTATGCTGGCACTTTGCTTTACACAACCAGCAGCAACAACAATATCAACAGCTCCAATAACAACAACTTTATGGGACAACCTCCTGCAAGGCGGCGCATAATTTGTGGAAGCTTTTTCTGGCAAGGGTTATATGGATTTTGTGGAGCATTGGCTTACCGCGGAATACATTAATATAAATGAAAGATTAAAATAGTTTGAATGAATTGCGGATATATACGTAAATATATTTGCAAGCATTATAAAAGCTTATTGAAAATGTTACAGTTAACATTATTCGTAAAATGGGTAAAAGTTAGAGAAAATATACTTTTCTTTATAATAAGAAAGATTAAACTTTTAAAAGGAGGACCCACATTTGGGGCTTTAATGAAACTTGCCTATAGATTCCTTCCTCTTTTGCAAAGAATTTTATAAGATAAATACATCATATTTACAGGATTTGGTAGAGAGATATATTTTTTTTTAACAATAAAATATGAAGCTAAAATATAGAGTACATTTTATTTGTAAGATACAATGATCTATACGTTAAATTGATTTTAAATCTACATCAATATAGCTAATTTTTTACCACAAGAAGGGTATTAAAGTCTCGAATATATCTTCCAAATAACTTAATTTCTTATTCCTCTTGGCTTATATTTTGTTTTTACTGTTTTGTCTTGAATGCAGCCGCCGTTGGCGGTGGTCCCCTTTCCCTTTCCATTCTTTTTCTTGCTTAAAATCCTTCTCTCTTTCTCCTTCAGAATCTGGCGTCTCGCCTCGAATATTGTTTTTGTAGATTGCTCCTGCTGATGCAGTTGTTGTTGTTGTTTGGTGTTGTTTACGTTTTTGTGATGCCCTTTTTGGAGCGAAAAATACAACCTCAGCCATAACAACACAATGTGTTGAATGTTATCGGACAAACTGGTTACGCGATTGGTTACATTTCATTATAAAGCCGTTTATCGGTCTTATGTGTAAAATATGTATAGTCATACCACACTGTTTGGAGCTTAGTTAAGGATATTCCTGTAGTCCTAACCTAACATTTGGTATCTTTTTTGGGTCTTGCCTGGAACTTCTTCTTCTGCTCGCTTATCTTTTGTATCACCAAACTTGGGTTTCGTTCAAGTTTATTGCGGTTTCTTTTCGGTTTCTCTTCCTCGAATGGTTTTTTTTTTACAGCTATTGTTGCATTTGTCGCATTTCTGTGGCTTTTTGTCTGCTTCTTGTGCCCTCTTTTACAGATAGCACAATTAATACAAGCCGGTTTTTAGCTACACAACAATATTGTTCCCTTTAAAATAATTGTTTTTGTATTAAAATGACACAGAAGTTGTTATGGTTTTTAAATCCATTTCACTGGCGCTCATAAGTATGCTATAAAATTGTAAACACCAGGAAAATGAGTTATTTACCATAAATTTATAAACTTTAACATTTCATATTCAGAGTTTCCATTGTTTTTTATTTTATTATTTCTTAAATTTTATTTTATTCCTAAGGGACATATAATATAACTCATAGGAAGAAAATAAATCCGATACTGTACAACACTGCGTATGCTTAATTTACTTTCCTAGGGTATTAAAATCTCCGCTTCTGCTCAGACTTCCCTTGTTATTTGGCAAATTCCTTTTCTCCTGGCAGGACACGCGTTTCGAGAGCAAACCACAAAAAAAAATGAAGAAGGAAGAAGAAACCGAAAACTGCAACAAAAATAATGAATTCCTTCTTTGGGCTTTAACCTCAAATTGGCTTAACTTCATTTATTTCATTGCATCGCGTAGCCCACATGGGGTTGGGTTGCCTCTTGCTGGCCACGAACGGGTTAAGATAATGCAAACAAGCGAAATATTTCACTTTTGCGGTTTGTGAATGCGGATTTGAGCGGAGACAAGAAGGAGGCTCGGGCAGCACCCTTTTTGGCCAAGTCGCGAGCCACGAGTTAATCGCCTGAGCTTCTTGGCCAGCTAAGCCTGACAAACTGACACTCTCCACACTGGGAGCAGGGGGACGGGGTGCTGTGCTTATGCAGATTCCTTACATTCCTTACATATATAAGGATTCTTGGCAGAATGTCGGGAATCAGCTATAATCCTGGCAAAAACTTAACAAAGGGAAATAACTTTAAGTATTTTTTTATAATTTGTAAAAGAGATTGTAATAATAGCTATTATTATGGGAAGATTTTATTATAATAATACTATATTAATAATAATATAATAATATTATAATACAATATTAATAATAATATTATAACTAATAATTTTCAAACAGTTTCCATATCAGTATTTAATGCTAATTTAGCATTAGGTTATTTTTATTTGAATATAAAATATATTTAAGAACATTTATAAGAATTTTCTATAAGAGGTCTTCGTCATGACAGATCTTTCCTTCTTTCGTCATAAAAGATCTTTTAAGAATGTTACAATTATTAAATCAAAGTTTTACAATCGAAACTTGCTGAGATATATTTCTTACTTCCAGTTTATAATATCTTTTATATTTTGATATATCCCTAGCTATTCTATATTTCTTCTTGATCGAAGTTATCCCCAAGTTAAACCCAATTTTGAACCAGACAAAAAAGTTTAAAAATCAACTTTCCCTTGTGCAAAAATTTGTTGTTAAGCCGAAACACATATAATCATTGTTTTTGTGCCAGAATTAAAAACAAAAGCGTTTCGGTTGTTAAAAGCCTGGCTACACGGACACGATCCAATCGATTCGAGCAGATGGAAGGCTGGTGGAATAACCTTGGAATCGAGACTGATCAATATTCCGCAATATAATTTTCGTGGTCAGTTCAAAAACCACGATTGTGGCTCTCGGCAATGGAAGGAAGCGCTTGCTGCACACACACATTAAATTACATCAAATTATGCTGAAATGCGAGCTAAATATGCGGCGGTGAATTTCGTTATGTTCAAGGCTTTATAATTAGTTCAACTCTAAAACGACCCGACCCATTATGCTTGTGTGAGAGAGCTTATCGGGTTCAAAAGCATCTCTACGCGTTTTTTGCAGTTGTTTTCCAGCTTTTTGTTTTGTTTTTATATTAATTTTTTGGTGCTTGTGCCAGGAGCCAGGAGCCAGGAGCCATGGAACTGAGGCTGTGTGCACTGCTGGGCATAAAATATTTTTAACGCTTCAAAGGGCAAAAGCCTCACGCAGAAGGAAAAACAAAATATATATATATTTTATTGCATTTTAATGCCACTGAAATTCAATTTAATTGGCATTGTTGTGAACCAACTACTACTGCACACTGATTCCAATTTATGTTTAATTGTGGAAGACTGTAATTTCTTAGTTACACATTTTATTAGACTTTCTTTTCGTTAGTCATTCCTATAAGCTATTATTACAAGAGATCGCTACTTTTAAATCTATTTAAATCCTTTACAAATCTAATTTGGAACCTTGTAATTTCTTACTTCCTTAATGAACTTGATAGGTTTTTGGGTTTATTGTTAACAAACACTTTCATGATATTAGACTTTGTTTAAGTTAGTTAAAACGAATTAAACCCTTTTAATATTTAATGTGGAACCCTTTAATTTATTATTTATTCTCATTGAATTCAATAGGTTTTTGGTATTATAGTTAATATATAATAATACTTTCATAATATCAACCTTCAACAAATTTGTTTCAAGTTAATCGATCTTTTAAGCTTTTATTTTATGAATTTGATGCTTACAAAGCTATACAAATTCTTTAACAATTTAATATTTATATATATAAACCTTATAGTGTATATAATACAGACCACCTTCTTGGTGAACCTGTCCCACGTCTTTGTCCCACGGTTGATCCCAGGTCTAGACTTTGGACTAGTTGCAAAACTTAGCTGGATCCGGGAATCGGGTCTGGCAACTGTCTGGCCCGAACTGAGTGGCGCTCCATTGGTCCTTGGGCTGTTGTAGGATGGATTTGCTTTAATTAAATTCATTCTCACAGTGTGTGCAACATGTGGCCAAATCTCTGGATCACTGAATCGCGCTGGATCGTTGGAAGTTGGAATGCAGGCAAGGCAGTGCGGGAATCTCTTCTTCCCCCGGGTTTGGATGGAGTCTGAAGTCTGGAGTCTCTTCCTTTTGCCCGTCTATTGCGTATAGTGACTGCTCCTTCTCCTTTTCCCCTGGTCTGGTTTGGTTTTATTTCCTACCTACACTACAACAACTGCAACTTGGTTCCCTTTAAACTTTTGCGACTTGGACTGAGTTCTCTTGGGCTGCTTAGTCCTCGTTGCCTCGGTCGTCAGCAGCAAATCAGGTTTCGCCTGACTCCAACTGACAGACGCGCATACACATCGCTAGAGTTCCTTAAATGCCTGACCGAGGACGGGCTGGAAGAAAAACTCTCTGGCGAAAAAAAAGAAGTTATAAATGCTTCTCATATTTTTAACACCAAAACCAAAACCAAAGGCGATCCAAGTCGATCCCTGGGATGCCCTGGGATGGGGTTCCTGGATCTCACTCTCATTCCTGCCCCTCCAGTTTTATGTTTGATTTGACAACTTTGTTGGCATTCCCCTGTTTGTTGTTTGCTCATTTTCTGTTTGTCGTCTGCCTGCGAACAATTTCCAAGTTTTCTGCTCTAAATCGGAGCAGCTTTAGGCCGAATTGTTGATTTAGGTTAAGGATGGGCCTGATTTTCACAGTCGCAAGAAAAAAAAGATTGATGAGAAAGGAAAATAATAAGAAATCATGACAATGCATCTACAAATATATCATTAGGAGAAGTACAAGATGTTGCGAATTTGAGTTCCTTATTATTGCTCAAGAAAAAGTGATATATGCCGGTTATGCAGACCATGGAGTACCGGGTACTTGAGTTATGTTTTTAAGCTCTTTAAAACATATTAAATTACCGAACAAATATTCATATATGTTTATTTTTTAAGCTTTTCTTTGTTTTTTTTTAGAGTCTTATTAATGTTAATGTGTTTTTGTGTTTTTACAGATTGTTGCTTTTACTAGTTAAACTCTTGGGTAAGTTGCTTAAAATCTGCTGTTCAAATTCGCTGACAAAAATATAAAAAACTATAATATAATACATAAAATATAAAGAAACACAAAATTAGGTTAATTTATTTGAAAAACATTCACATTCATAACACACATTCATAACACACATAACACACTTTTATCATTGATTTCAAATCCCTTTTGACATTTCTGTGATACCCCCTTATTGAGCTTTATTTTCCACTGTAAGAAACCCCTTTTCAAGGTATGACCCCATCCATCGATAGAGATTATCTCGAATTCGGACAAATCGTATGTGTAAACAAATTATTGAAGCTAAATTATATGCAAATACAATTGCCTCACTTTCGATATGCATGCACTTAACCCATGGTGAACCCCGTTCGTAAAGGGTTCAGCTTCTCCAGCACACACACACTCGACCCAAACCGAGTCCACTGAACCGTGGACAAGTCGACAGCCTAACAGCTTTCGAAGGACCACAAACAGCGGAGCAAACAAAACGATGAAACAAGTTAACCCCGAAACGAAATAAGGCGAAATAAACTGTAGGACAGTCAGTCGCGGACAAACATCAAAAGACCAAACTTGTATATTTGTAAGTCCGTCGAAGGACAAGGATCGGCGGACAGTTCTCTTTTTTTTATTATTAGTATTTGTTGTATATTTCTGTACCCCGTCAAATGTCACACGGTTCGCAGGAGAAGGGAACTGGTTATCTTGTTCACTCGAAGCTTACAAATCAATTTGAATTTTCCGTACCTGGATAGGATAGGATTTTCACAGATTTGTTTGACATTCACTTGACACGTTCCTGTCCGCCATAAATGCATAAATTAAACATAATGTAGTTGGTAAATGGAAATGGGCATGATGAATGTGTGTGTTGTCCCAAAAACCAAATGCTAATTAATCCCACGGCTTTACTGGGGCGAGTTTTTAATTCCGGTTCGATGATTTTCACACACGGGCAAACTACCGGCTACCTGGCCTGTCCCGATCCTTAATCCTTATTTTACCCTTTAACCCAATGCTCTGATTTTCAAATTTCAAATCCCATGCATGTAATTGCATATATTGCAACTGCGGTACCGAGACGAGAAGGGAGGTACATGTATTCCTGCCCAATATTTTTGTTGTTTCCGCCTCTTAACGGTCCTGTGAATAATCTGTATTGATTTCGCACAGTTCCAGGATGCTGCGAGAGATTTTTCAAGATTTTCCTGACACGCGCGACGAGATGCATCCTCAATTTGTGCCCTAAGCCAAACCTCGAAAGAAAAACAAGACCTGGGGAATTGCATAGTACAAAAAGTAGTAATAATAGTGACAGCTGTTACAGCGCCTGCGCAACATTCCGAATGTGCAGGGGGAATCAGAAGCAAATGATTTGATGTTAGGGAGAGATCCTTTTCTGAACTAAAACCCTTTTATAGCTGGCTTTACTCTAATTTAGAATATTTTTGTATTTTTATGGCACTGCAGCACTCCCTTAACCACTTTTCCAAAAGATTGATAAGTTTTACCTAAGATAAATATTCTGTAACACAGTTCCATAATTTCATGACAAACTAATCCTATTTTTAACTGATGGTATTCAAATTCCCATTTTTTATATATTTTAAAAATATACATATTTTCTTCGATCAATAATCACCTAAAAGATACCGCCTATATCGGAATATATTTGAGGTTTTTAATCCTTATTCAAACAGAGTGTTCGCCAGCTGCCTTCCTTAACCTATTTGTATTTCACTCTTCTTTACTTTTTTTTTTTTTGCACAGCGAAAAGTGGAATGAAAATTGGTTCACCCTACTGTATGGAGGGCTCACAGCCAGCAAATTCCCCCGCCTAGGGGTTGCTTCCCCTTCTATATATATGTATATATATATATCGGGGTCTCTGTTGCTTTAGTTTAGTTTAATTATTGGCTCGGTGCCGTGAACGGAGCAGCCCTCGAATTGGCTTCGACTTGGTCGCTGATGGTTGGTTGGTTGGTGGTGGTGGTCACAATGGACTTTGGGCTCTATGGCCACCTTCCCTTGGAGGTTTCTGCCCTTTTGCAGCACAGTGGGTTAAGCTCTGGGTTTTCAGACTGAAAATATATATCATAAATAAGGTTGAAGTGGGTTTATTACAGAAATTTCCAACTGGAAAGTAGAAAAAAGTGGAAAATATAGAAAATTAAAGTTAAGCAAGCTATAAAAACAATTACAACTTTTATAAAAGAATCAACATGAATATGGTCATAAAAAAAAACAAATATACTTCAAAATTATTTTAGAATTTTTAGGGTTAAGTTATAAGGCTAAACCATAAGCATACGAAAAATGGTACTTTATTGAATCGGTTTTTTCTAATACCCACTTGCCAAAATCAAATCTATTTTTAAATTTGATATTTTATTTATTTATAAATTTAAATTTAAAGCCAACCCACTGTGCAAAAATGCTGGTTTTTTGTATTGCATTCCCCATTGTACTTCTGCAATTGCAACAGCAGCAACCACTTTCCGCTTCCTGTTGGAATTGCAGGAAACTCCTTAAACAAGAACAAACACGAACAGTCGCCCAATTCTAATACTAAGAACCTTAAGGACTTCTGTTGCATTTCGTCAGCAACAATTACAGAGCTCAGAAGAAAATGTATGGGGTTTTATAAAATGTCAACATGCTGGAATTTAGTAAAAGGATCGAATACCTAATTACCCTCGTGGGGAATTATGATGGGTAGATTTTTAAATATATTTAAATTAATATTAGTAAGTTATTTAGTTTTAAATTTAGCTTAGAATTTTAGAAATAGGTTGAGACTATTACGTACCAGGTATCATATAGTCGAGGAAATAACCCTTAACTTGTTTTCTGTTACCTCTTTGACAATATCTCTTCAATTTATTGGCAATCGCGTAAGCATTAATCTATCTTTTTGGTAACAACAAACCATATGGTTGCACCTTAAAAGATGTCCTTTTTGCGAGCTTAGCCTTGGCTGTTTAAAACTTGGCGGTAATTGCCTTACAGGATCCCCTCTCAAAGGACGAAAAGTGCTCTCCTGTACCGTCTGAAGTGCAAGAAGGGGTGCTGCTTGGCACTACTTACTACGATTATTTTTTTGTATTTTTGTTTTTTCCTTTTTTTTCCATTTTAGGGGTGCTTCTTTAGGGCATCTCTTTCCCTCTGATACACCTTCGTTTTGCGCAAGAAAACCGAACCAGGTGTAAAAAGTGCGTGTGCGCTGCTACCTTTTGCTTATATTTCTACATTTTCCTCTTGCCTTGCTTCATCGTGGTCCTCTTTATCTTGGTCTTCTTGGTTCTTTTCCTCTCACTTTACTATTTTTCCTTTATTGTATTATTTTCTTTGCTTTATTTTATTTATTTTTTTGTGGGACATCTGCCACCGTTTGATTTCATTTCATTTATTTTGTGGCTCACTTCCGTTTTGGGTTTATTTTTGGCAGCGAAGAAGGAAGCTCCCACGCCTGGGATCCACTTGGAGCTCAGCCAGTCTTTCTGCTCCTGCTCCTCCACCTCCCCCTGGGCTAATTGCAATTGCTTTGCCTCGCATTCGTTTAGTGTCCTTTTTGCTTGATCCCGGATCCTTGTCCTTGTTTTCAGTTGCTTGGCTTCATAGGAAACGCAGCAACAAAAGGCGCAAGAGATTTACTGATCGAAAAATTTCCAGGAATTCCGTGAATGGGAAAAACAAAAGCGCAGCAGAGAGCGGGACAGAGACAAGACGAGAACGTCTACCTATGGGTATGTGGCAACTGCACTGAGAGAAAATTAAGGAAACTACAAAAAATTCAATACTATAAATTCCAGTTCAAAACTTCTTATATGCTATGCTTTCTTACATTTTCAAAGCATCCTGTATTTATTTTTGCTACATTTTTACTATGACAATATCATAAATTCGTGTACTTCTTTCTCTCAGTGTAGTCAACCTGAACCTGAATCTCAACTTGGGGCATTTGAGGCCGACGCCGCCGCTTCTTTTCTGCTTATGAATGTACTTGGTACTTGGCCCGAAGGTTTTCGGAACAGGCAAAGGCAGCTTTTGTTGCTACATATATCCCTCTCACCGCCCGATCCTGATGCCCTTTAGTAGTCCCATTCCCTCTGTCTCCCTCGCACTCCCTGGCCGGCATCTCGGCTCGTTATTGTTACTTAAAATAGCTGAAATGAACGAAATGAACGAAGAAAAACGTGAGGCGACCATATCCCAAATTTGAAAACCGGTGTAGAACCTGAGCCAACCTCCACAGTCTCAAACAGGCCGAAGAGGAGGAGCGCCTCAGGTTTATGTCCAGGTTCCGGATCCAATCACAAAAATTATTTTCAGATTGAAATCGTCCCAGGTAGCCCACTAAGAGAGAGCTCCTCTTGTCCTTTCTCCTTGCTCTAATGCCTAATTATTAAGCATAATCAGAGTTTATTCATAATATAAGCTATGAAAAGTTTAAATAAAATGTGTGGAAACGGTACAGACTATTAGAGGGAATGAATTCCATCAGGACACCCTGTCATTGCCTAGATTGATTCGTCTGGTGTTACAGAAAAAGAAATGTGTAATTTATAAGGTTGAAAGTCTGTTTTTAAGTCATTTTTGATATTTTATTAGATACTCCAAAGAAGTCCAACTGAAATTGTGTTAAAATGTTATTAATATTCCCTTAAAATATGCTCTCATTTTATTCTCAACCAAAATCGAAACTAATATAATTCTACTCTTAATATAGAAAACCCTATGCTGTGCATTTTGGTTTATAAAAAGAAATCTTTGGGTATCTTTATGAATTTTCTGTAGTGCCTAATAAACCCGTTCAACAGATGTTTGAGTCTCTAAATCATAGATAATATCAATTTGTGTTTTTGAAATTTTCACTTCAGACTCTAAATAACCCTTATGCCATTCTAGGTCTGGCTTTCCCACTCCTAAATATTAATAGTTTGTATAATTTTGAACATTTCCACAAGTGTTACCAATTCCTGCTTAGT